ATTATCCACTTAAGCTCATGGGGACGATGGGGGAGGAAAACCCTGAACAGATCCCACACATTCTCAAATCCACAGCCAATTTAGAATCACATATAACCTAATGTTCGTTAGACTGCAGGAGGAAGCCCGAGTCACTGGAACAACCTCCATGCAGAAAGGCCTCAGGCGACCAGGAGGCTTCAATCGGGAATTTCCATGGTGGGGCGTAACAGTGCTAACCACTGCACTGTGCTGGCCCCTTTTATACATGTAAATGTTAATTGCATCATATTAAATGCTTTGCTGTGTAATATAGAACAGTTACTGGAAGGTACTGAAGCAACAACAATAAGAAAAGCCACAAAAGACAAAACAATGTTAAAATATAACAACACATACATACAATAAGTACATAAACTGTTTTCTTTGTGCTATTTTTAAGAATGCTTATCTCATTTTAATGGCACTCTATGTGGATTTCATCTGTAGTCCGAAAAAGAAAAAGAAAAACACTGTCTATCTTACACCTATAAGAGTGCTCTTGCACACTCTGCCTCACACTGGCAAAGCCATCACAGTAAAAACTGCACCAGTCATCACAATGTTCTTTTTAACAGCACCGTGTGGTAATTACCAGCTGCCAAACTGACAGGAGGATTTGTTCTACACACATGTTCATGAAGCGGGCGGACGTGACACATGACTGCACCTATTGTCTGATTACGCTCAAACTTAGAGACAAAACGCACTCAGAGCTGAGCTCTCTGAGTTGGATGGAGTCATTGTTCATCATGGTGCTTTTAACTGTTCCAGATACAGCTCCATTCTCAGTAGGCGCTGACACAGCATATCCACCACACATCTGCACCCCGCCCACATTTACCTGTATGTTCCCGTGGTCACTGAAGAGATGGCTCTTTGCTGGCCTGAGATCAGTCTCCCGGTGACAAACGCACTGAAGGTAAGGGGCTGAAGATTTCTGTAGCGTACTTTAAAACATGACAAGTGGGGCTCTTGCAAACTTTCTTTGTGCTTGCAGAGCACGATGAGGACCGCGGGGGTGCTGTTTGTTGTTGGGCTGTGTTTGCTGGATGTCACGTCGTCCTTTAAAATCTGTGCTTTTAATATCCAGAGCTTTGGAGAATCCAAGGCAAACAACAAGAAGGTTATGGGGATTCTCCTAAAGGTACTACGTGTCTACAAAAACACCTAGATTGATAGCTGAACGAAGTGAACAGCTGATGGAGCTTTGTTTTTTCTGCTTTTGCTCCCAAGATTCTTTCTCGGTGTGACTTGTGTCTCATTCAGGAGGTCCGAGACTCTAAAGGAGAAGTAATACAAGCTTTGGTTAAGGATCTTAACAGGTACAAAGCTTATGTGGTGAATCTTCTGTGCCATTTAATAACACCGACCAACTTTAATTTTGATGTTATTTTCTAACCAGGTTCGACAAATACAACCCCTACTCTTACGTGGAAAGCGAAAGGCTCGGGAGGAAGGCCTATAAGGAGCAATATGTCTACATCTACAGGTAATTCATGCTGTATTTCCCGTTGCATTTGAGCCATTTCCTTATATGATCATGCTAAACCTAGTGTGCTTTCCTCTTCCGTGACTTCCAGGAGCAATGTGCTGAAGGTCAAAGAGCATTATCAGTACCCTAAACTCGAAGGAAAGGGGACCAATGAAACTGATGTTTTCTCCAGAGCGCCCTTCATCATCCACTTTCACTCCCCCACTACATGTAAGGTTAAAAGGGGG